CTGTAGCTGTTGGCAGAGAGACAGACACAGATTTCAGGAACAAAACAAAAAACCAGAAATATGACTGGCACAAATACACAAAAGTACAAACGTGCTTTTCAGTGGAGGAAGAGGAGTCTTTTCAACAAACGGTTCTGGGATCACTATAAGCCACCTATAAGCGCAAAAAAAAAAACCACCTCAACCCAAGTGTCATACCTTATGCAGAAAATAACTCAAAATGGACCGAAGACCTAAATGTAGAAGTTAACCTACAGCAGCAAAAGCCTGACCTACAAAGGAGAAAGTGACATGGCAAATGTGGTTGCATATGCCTCTCTTATAAAGCTTTGAGTGTTCTTTCTTTTGTTCCAAAGATATAAATATATATATAGTGGGGCTGCGGGTGCCCTTGGAAGAGTGAATGGCTTCTATGTCTTCCCCAATTGATGTTTGCCAACCCATTTCCTACCATTGGGTCATAGATTAATTGTTGGGGTTGTTGGATGGTGTCGGGTGGCAGACACCTGTGATGACACGGACGATGTTAATGTGTCCACCAGCATAGGAGAACGAGACAAACCACCAATGGCACTATGTTGTGTTGTGTTTTTCTCAGAGCGAATGAAATTATTTTTGCCTCGCATGTCGGGAGGGGCAGAGGGGCCACCGGCGTGGCTGGGTGGCCCCGGGCGGACATGACCCTGGGCCCCGGCCACACGGCCCTGCCCCGGGCCAACGGTCCCGGCCTAGCGGACAGACCCTGGCCCCGGCCACACGGCCCGGATCACGGCCCGGGCGGAACGGGCCCCGTCCGCGAGCGACACCGACCCCGGCCACACGGCCCCGATCACGGCCCGGGGCGACACGCTCCCGGCCACCACGGCCCCGCCGAGCGACACTGACCCGGCCACTACAGCGCCCCGGTCGACACGATCCCCTCCCGCGTTGCGGCCCGGGCCGTGCGCGCACTCACAGTACTTGATGACCGCGATGTTGACCGGCGCGGTGCAGGTGACAGCCACCAGCGGCTCCTCCGAGGCCATGGCGAGCAGCGCGGCGTCTCCGGCCCCACAGCCGCGAGCCGTCCAGGGACCGACCCCGCGGGCTCCGCCGCCTCACGCGCTGCCACGCGATTGGCCCGCGCGCCCCCTGTGCTTGCGTACCAACCAATCAGCGTTCGGCTAAGCCCACGCTTCACCTCTCAGCCAATGGGCGGGATCGGACGATGGGCTGCAGCCTCTGAGCCCGCCCCCACACTCGCCGGAGAGCGCGGGGCGGGGCTTGCGCGGGGCGGGGCCTACGCGAGCGCGGATGTGCGCAGGCGCGCGGCAGCGGACTTCCGGGGGCGGGAAGCTGGCCTCGCTGTCGCCGCCAGGCGGGCGCGATAGGCGCACCTGGACGCGGAGAGACTCCGGGACCGACAGGGGTGTGAGCTGCCAGGCTGGAGGTGACTGTGTCAGAGGTGCTTGGGGCCAAAGGTCAAGCGGCCCCCAGCGTGGAAGGATGCGGCCTGGGGTCCCGTCCCCGGGGTTCCCTCTCGTCCCCGGGGTTCCCCGTGGATCCCCCTAGTTCTCTCCTGGGTCCTCTCTGCACTACCGGCGTCCCCTCTCGCCCCTGGGGTCCTCCCACATCCGGGGCTCCCCTCTCCACCCCGGGCTCCCTTCACCGCGTCCCCTTTGGCCCCACGGGTCCTGCCCCCCAACACCCGCGGTCCTCGAAGCTCCTGCGCCCACATCCCGGGGTCCCCCGGCCCGCCCGGCCCCTGTCGCCGGCCCCCTAAGGTGACAGGGAGCCGAGACGACCCCATCACCGGTGCTGGGGCCTCTGACGTGCGAGCGCATCCCGGATCCACATTTTCAAACGTCCCCGCTTTAAGCTCCATATTCGCAAGGATTTGGTTGTTTTTCAGGGTTGGAAATGAGTTGACACGTCTATTTATTTGTACGTTGGTTTTTATGGTGGTAAAATACATGACTAAAGACTGACTGCTCAGTGGCATTAAGTGCATTCTCGCTGTGCGACCTTACCGCTGGCTACTCCCAGAACTTCCTATCACCCCAAATGCAAACTGTCCATACTGGACAGGAACTTCCCCTTTCCCCCTTCCGTTTTTTTTTTTTTTTTTTTTGAGACAGAGTCTCACTTTGTTGCCCAGGCTAGAGTGAGTGCCATGGCGTCAGCCTAGCTCACAGCAACCTCAAACTCCTGGGCTCAAGCGATCCTCCTGCCTCAGCCTCCCAAGTAGCTGGGACTACAGGCACGCGCCACCATGCCCGGCTAATTTTTTAAAATATATTTTAAGTTGGCTAATTAATTTCTTTCTATTTTCAGTAGAGACAGGATCTCGCTCTTGCTCAGGCTGGTCTTGAACACTACTGACCTAGAGCGATCCTCCCGCCTCGGCCTCCCAGAGTGCTAGGATGGCAGGCGTGAGCCGCCGCGCCCGGCCTAGAAGTCCAAGTTTTCAGCGAGCGCCCCAGGTCAGCTTGCTAATAGGGAAAGCGGGGCGGAAGGCGAAGCCCACGTCACGGGGCGTCCCACCTGCGTGGGAGCTGGCGGCCTCACCGCGGCCCGACTCCAGCCTTGCCGACCAAGGAAATTGTCCCCTCCTCCTCACAGGCCCATCTCCGGCAGGTGTCCCTTTCTTCCACGGGCCCTGCCAGCCCTCCCTCTGCCACCCAGATATAAATACGAGCGCTTTTTCCATGGGCCGGGACACGCGGAAACATTCGGCTTTATTTTCGGCCTGTGAAATTCCCTCCCTTCATACCCGACAGGTGCAGCTGCCTCTTTTAGCTGCAGGGGCCCAGGAATAGAACACGGTTTACAATATAGCTCCCTTTAGGCATCTGGATGCTATTTTAAAAAGAAAAAAAAAAAAAAGAAGAGTCCTCCCGGGAGACACCCAGACTCAAAGTGTGAGTGTCGGCTGGACTCCTGCCCCCCGCCGGGCTGGAGGGACCCTGGGCCCAGGCTGCCCACCTGCCTGGTGCCTTCAGAGACACGAGGGTCCCTTGGAAGGGCAGGGACTGTTGTCACGGCCACCAATGCCAGGCGCTGGTCCCCACAGGGAAGGGAGAGGAGATGGGGCTGGGGACCTGGGCTGTGGCTCCTGCCTCAGGTGACTCTGAAGGGTACGTTCTTGGGAATCCCATCATTAGAATCCACCGTCCCCCACGGTCCTGTGTGGACCGAGGGGAAAGGAGCTCCGAGCGTGAGGGCCGGCACCGTAGCTCTTGGGACACCCCCGAGACCCATGACTTGATGCCCTAACTCCAGGACGTGGTCTCCAGTTGGGGTGTCCCCCATCCCTGACATCTATGGCTTGACACCCTAACTCTGGGATGGGGTGTCCAGGTGGGGTGTCCCCACCCCCGACATCCATGGTTTGATGCCCTAACTCCAGGATGGGGTGTCCAGGTGGGGTGTCCCCCACCCCAGAGACCCATGGCTTGATGCCATAACTCCAGGACAGGGTGTCCAGGTGGGGTGTCCCCCACCCCCGACATCCATGGCTTGACACCCTAACTCCGGAACGGGGTGTCCAGGTGGGGTGTCCCCCACCTCCGACGTCCATGGCTTGATGCCCTAACTCCAGGGCCTGAGCGTGACCCCACCTGGAAACAGGGTCTTTGCGGACGTGGTGGTGAAGATGAGGCCACGCTGGAGTAACAACGTGACCCCGGGTACAGTCCTGTAGAGGAGCAGAGACACGCTCGGGGAGGTGGTGTGAGGACGGGGATAGAGGTGCGGTGAGGTGCTTCCTCACGCAAAGGAGCGCCGGGGGTGGCCAGCAAGTCCCCAGCCACCAGGGGCCGGTTCTCCTGCACAGCCTCGGGGGGAGCACCCGCCTGGCTTGGCTGATTCTGGAGCCAGCCCCCCCCCCCGCCACCTGGACTGGCACGGAGGAGAACCAGCTCGTCTCACGTCACTTGGCCAGCAGAACGCGACGCCCTGCCACCGTGGCCGGGCCCACACCTCCCTCGGGGAGCGACGGCGGAGGGAGCATGGCCATCCTCGGAGGGTGTCTTCCCTCGAAGTCGCCTGGGTCTCCCTGAGTTTACTTTTTTTTTTGTACATTATATATATATATATGTTGTATATAATTAGTTGGCCATATGATTCATTTAGTAGATGACGGGTGTCTCGCTCGCTCAGTTGGTTCGATCTGACTCGAGCCATCCGCCCGCCTCGACCTCCGATGCATGGATTACAGGCTGTGTCTAGCTAAATGTCACTGATTAGCTGTGGGCGCGGTGGCTCAGCGCCTGTCACTCCTGCATCTGGAGCTGAGGAGACCGCTCCACGGTCAGGAGGTTAGACTCAGCTGAGCAAGGCGCGAGGACCCTCGTTCTCTGACGAAAATTAGAAAAATTATTGGACCAATCTAAAATATTAAAAAAAGCAGCTTGCTGTGCACGATGCTTGGTAGTCCGTTAGTCAGAGCTGGGAGAGTCTGA